CAATTTTAAGTATATTGTACTGTAATTTAAAGTATTGGGTTGGAGATGGCCCAAAACGGTAGATTTTTTTAATTTAAGCAGCATCATCCTTCAAGGACTGATTATGGGCCCAACGAAATTAAAGGAGAGCTCCATTAACAGGAAATGAAGAGGGTAGAGGGGAGTCTCTATCCAGTATACCCGGAGGCACTATACTCCCCCTCCTATTTTTTACACTACTAGTTCTTACTATACTTTTTTCTACCTTTCTAAATAACATCCTATAATTTACAGGTTTAGTCCCTTTGATTTTTTTTTTCTCTCTCCTTTAAAAAACATCTCTAATCTTTAAACGATCATATCTCTCAATCCGTGAAGAATTAAAAACCGTGTTACACATGAATTTTATTGTATTCGTCGAGATCTATCCAACAAGATCCATGTCGAATATTTTTTCCGAGTTTAAAAATAACTAAATTTCGATGGGCAGAATAAGATGGATATCTAGTTTAGAAAGATTGATAATCCAATTCATTTTAAATTGATTATCCATTGTGTTATGCTGATTATCCAACCAGTTTGAACTGTTTATCCAACTTGTTTGTATTGAATATCCACCCATTTGGTTTGTATGCCTATCAAACTTGTTTGTAATGGATATCCCACTTGTTTGTACTGGATATCCATTTTGTTTGTACTGGATATCCAACTCGCTTGTACTGGATATCCATCCATTTGGTTTATATGCTTATCCAACTTGTTTTGTAGTTGTAATCTAACGGGTTTGTATGCATATCCAACTTGTTTGTGCTGGATATCCAACTCGCTTGTACTGGATATCCAACTTGTTTGTACTGGATATCCATCCATTTGGTTTGTATGCCTACCCAACTTATTTGCACTAGATATCCATCCATTTGGTTTGTATGCCTATCTAACTTGTTTGTACGCACTGGATATTTATCCAACTTGTTTGTAGTGGATATCCATCCATTTGGTTTGTTTGCCTATCTAACTTGTTTGTAATAGATATCCCACTTGTTTGTACTGGATATCCATTTGGTTTGTACTAGATATACAACTTGTTTGTACTGGATATCCATCCATTTTGTTTTTCTTATTATTATTATTTTTTGAAAAAAAGAAATGGTTGTCCAACGCGTTCGTATTGATTATCCAACTGTTCTGTATAGATTATCCGACCATTTTTTTTTCTCTACTCTCTGCAAAAATCCTTGTTCAGTTTTTTTGTACTGACTATCCAACCATTTTGTATGCCTTATCCAATCGTTTTCACTGATTATCGAAACATAATTTCTCTTCTTTTTTTTTCTTCTTTTAAGAAAAAATCTGTCAAATGTGTTTATACTGATTATCCATCCGACTTCTCGGTGATAGATGGTTATCCGACTTTTTTTTTCTTGCTCTTTTAATGAAAATAATTGTCTGATTTTTTTTGTACTAGTTATCTAACCAGCTTGTACTACTTATCCAATTATTTTCAATGATTATCCAAATTATTTGTAATACTTATCCAAATATTTTATTTTTTATTCTTTTTTTCTTTTTTTTGGAAGATGAGTGAATGTAAAAAATATGACTGGATAACAAGTACAAATTAAATGGATAATCAGTCTAAACCGGTTGGATAGATCTCGTCGAGCACTATAAAATTCATATATAATTCGTGTTCTAATTCTTTACGGATCAAGAAATATATGTAATATAAGAATATCAATCTAAACTAAGTTGGTTATCCATTTTCTTTTTTCTTTTTTTTCTTTTTTGAAAAGTGAATGTAAAAAATATGATTGGATAAAACAAAATACGTAATTAGTCCAAACTGGTTGGATAATCAGTATGAACACAATGGATAATCATTTTTCAGTTTATTCATTTCTACCCGTAAGATTTAAATGCACTTAAAGTTCAAAAGAAATATTCAACATTGATCTTATCGGATAGATCTCGTCGAGTACTATAAATTTCATATATAATTTGTGTTATAATTCTTTCTGGATCAAAAGATATAAGGAACACAACAATATGAATGTAAAATAAGTTGGTTATCCATCTTTTTAAACTAGATATCCAATGTGTTCATATTGATTATCCAACTTCTTTGTGGTGGTTATCCAGTATTTTTTTTTCTTGCTCTTTTATGAAAATGATTGTCAAACTTTTTTTGTACTGATTATCCAACGTGTTGCACTGATTATCCAATTATTTTCTATTGATTATCCAAATTGTTTGTGATGCTTATCCAATCATTTTTTCTTTCTTTCTTTTTTTTTTTTTTGAAGAGTGAATGTCAAAAATACGATTGGATAACAAGTAAAAACAGAATGGATAATCAGTTCAAACCAGTTGAAGAATCAGTAGGAACACAACGGATAACCATTTTTCAAAGAAAAACGAAAAATACATTTCTTCATTTCTGCTCGTGAAATTTAAATGCATTTAAAGTTCAAAAAAAAATTCAACATAGATCTTATCGGATAGATTTCGTGGAGCACTATAAATTTCATGTATAATTCGTATTTTAATTCTTTATGGATCAAGAGATATATGCAATACAAGAATCTTAATCTAAACTAAACTGGTTATCCATCTTTCTAAACTAGATATCCATCTTATTCTGCCTATCGAAATTTAGTCATTTTTAAACTTGGAAAAAATATTCGACATGGATCTTGTTGGATAGATCTCGACGAGTACAATAAAATTCATGTGTAACACGTTTTCTAATTCTTCACGGATTGAGAGATATGACTGTTTGAATATTAGAGATTTTTTTAAAAGAGAGAGAAAAAAAGTGGCAGGGACTAAAATTACAAATAATAGGAAGATTATTAGAAAAAAGTAAAAAAAGTACAATAAGGACTAATAGTGCAAAAAATAGGAGGGGGAGTATGGTGCCCTGGGTATACCCAATAAATTGCCGGCAAAGAGACAAGATGTTGCCTAAAAGGAGATGCGTCTGATCAGTGATCTCAACCAACTTGAATTTTGAAGCAATTGAGTACAACCCACGTCTCAATTACTGAATACAACAGCATTGTAATGATCATATACACATTGAGTGGATGGTTTTGTGATTACTGAAAAATCAATTACTGAAAGCAACTAGTTATAGTTATAGATTTGCCTAATTGGGGGAAGTCAGTTACGTGATTAATCTCTGGAAGTCAGTCCACTTCACTATTTGATCCTGCGAGTTGGTCTCGCTGTTGGAACTAATATTGTCCCACTATTACATGTTTCAAACCTAAGAAGAAAATAATGATAATATTGATTATGGTATTAGATCTAACTATATAAGGACACCATATAATACTATCCTCAATCCTTTTTTATATTAGGTCAATAACTAATTTTGCACATTAACTAAGAAAACTTTACTTATTTGAAATGGGAGTTGTGAATTGGTTACTTGTTAGGGTAAATATATGAAAGATCATTAAAATTTTTTGAAAGTTTATAAAATTTCTTATATAAAGACCAAAGAATTCATCTACGAGGTAGTATGTATCATGTATGGGATCGGATCAACTTACTTGGAAAATGTTTGCTCGGATCAACCCCCAACCCAAAAAAAAAAGGTTTTAGTTGGAGTATTAAGTTTAAAGGAAGAAGAAAATGAGGTAATTTATTAGGTGCACCCGAAAGCAATATGCTCCCCTCCTATTTTTTTTTTCATTAGGAGTCCTTATTGTAATTTTCTTTAGTCTTTTAATACTTTGCAAGTTTAGTCCCTATCATTTTCTTCTCCTTCCTACAAAAAACATTTCTAATCTTCAAACGAGCACATCGCTAAATCCGTGAAGAATTAGAAAACGTGTTACACATGAAATTTCTTGTATTCGTCGAGATCTATCCAACAAGATCCATATTGAAGATTTTTTTTGAGCTTAAAAATGACTAAATTTTGATGGGTAGAAATAAAGAAATTTGTATGAATATCTAATTTAGAAAAATGGATAACCAACTTATTTTAGATTGGTTATCCATTGTGTTCATGCTGATTATCCAACCAGTTTGAACTGGTTATCCATTTTGTTTGTACTGCTTATCCATTTAGTTTGTATGCCTATCCAACTTGTTTTGCAGTTGTAATCCAACCGGTTTGTACGCATATCCAACTTGTTTGTACTGGATATCCAATTTATTTGTACTGGATATCCATTTGGTTTGTATGCCAATCCAATTTATGTGTACTGGTTATCCAACGGATTTAGATGCTTATCCAAATTGTTTGTGCTGGTTATCCAATCTTTTTTTTGACCAGTTCCCTTATCATCTTGGAACCTGAGCTGTAAAATGCATAATATTGCACCGGTTTAAAGCATGTCCTAATTACAATGTGGTACTCCTTCTATCCTAAAATTATTGTCCAGCTTTGAGATTTCACTTTTAGTACAATTTGAACTAAAAATAAAATCTAAACTGGATAATAATTATGGACGGAGGGAATATTATTTTTTTACTTTTAATATTTTAAAACAAAAATAAATAAAAACTAAAAAGTAAACGATCAACCATATAAAAAAAGTGACATGTTATTACCACTGATACTTCCACTGTCCAACGCTATAAAAGATCATTTTGACCCTCTCATTCCATCCTCACCTACTAAACTCTTCACCCGTAATAAAATTCTTAAACCTTTCAATCATTCATTCTCATATTTGAAGCAAATTGAAGGTGAATTTGATGGTGAGCGAAGGCACCGAGGTGGAAAAGAACAAATGACGGAAGGTATATAGTTTTTACAATTCAAAATTAGTTTAATTTGTGTAAAAAGGCCAAAAACATACTCTGTCCATAACCGGCCGAACCAAATTTCCGACCGAGAAAAGCCATAACTCAATCCTTCTAATGACATGATTATTATTATCAGCGATTAAAAAAAAATCATAATGTTAGCGTATTTCGTTTTGATGATATGAAGTGCAATCATTACTCCAAAGACTTTTACTAATAATAATGCACTCTGTTCTCCTCAAATACAAACTATATGTGATGATGCCAATAGTAGTAGCTCTGTCGCAGGCAGAATAAATCGTCAAATCAACTTTTTCGTTCCTCGGGTACGCTGTCTTTAATGCTACTAATTACAGCTTTGAACAGCCAAATTGGCAAGTCTGATGTTCAAGTCTTGAAGAAGAATCGAAAATTTTCCTACTGCCTTTTGTTCCCTTTTGAGAATCATGGCTGTATCATCCACTGCAAAATCTGATCTGCCCTCGTCTCATTTCTTCAGACCCATCGTTCGACCTCTCAATGAAGGCATTGTAAGTTTATTAACACTGTTATTACAACATTATGGTTATAACAATATAACTTATAAATATAGCTGGCTCAATGAAATTCTGAAATTCTGATGTCTTCTTCCTGTTAATATGCAGCCACTTCCGACCTCGTTTATGGAAAGATATGGTGATAGCTTGGGGAAAGTTGTGGTTTTGAAGGTTCCAACTGGAGCTGAATGGCGGGTAGAATTGCGCAGGATTAATGGCGAGACTTGGATGCGAAAAGGGCTGCAAGAATTTGGAGAGTTTTATTCTATAGAATTGTACCATGTCTTGGTTTTCAGGTATGAAGGCAAATCACGATTCAGTGTCGTAATATGTGACAAAACAACTTTCGAAATCGATTACTCTGTCCATGTCAAACATGTGGAAGTAAGTGATGATGACAACAAATCTGTCATCAAAAAATTCGAAAACAGAGGGAGGAAGAAGAAGAACAGAGAGATTGAGGAAGATCGGAAGAAGCCAAATCAGAGATTGTCATCGTACTCTTTAGTGGACGGGCGCCGTTTAAGACAAAGGGTCAACACGAGTAAGCAAAAATTTCCAAAGTAATTCCGTTTATTTTGATGTTTGAAGTTTAACCCAATATCTTGTTCTTCATTTAGGTGGGAATTACAGAGGAACATGGAAATCCCAGATCCCAGATGATCAAAGAGCTTTGAAATCTGAATATCCATCCTTTGATTTCGTAGTGGGACGGGCTTATCTGCGTCCGCACTTTGTAAGCAGTCACATTTGATTCTTTCCTTTTTTTTTCTTTTTTGGTTCTTTGTAATCATTATTTAACTTAGATTACGGATGTGTTTTGTGTAATTTTGAAGGAATTCCCGCGTGGGTTTTGCAAGAACAACTTTGGTAGGAGTTGTAGAGAGGATTATAAGGTTGGTGTACCTGAGACTGGAAAAACATGGGCAGTTCTGTTTCGTGTTCGGGGAATTAGGGCCTGTATATCTGGTCGTGGTTGGAAAAGACTTGTCCAAGAAAATGGATTAACCGTTGGAGAGGTTTGTACCTTTGAATTCATCAAGGCAAAGAAGTTGTTCAATTTATACAGGAGAAAGAATTGAAGAACATTATGCAGATCCTCTGTTATGATAGAAATTAGGAGTTTAAGAATAGATCACAAGTAGTATGTTTTACCAACTCGTATGAACTCTATATTTCCTAAGTCCTAAGTCCTAACAGAGGAAACATTCATTTTGGGAGACTTTCGCGATGGAGGAAATATATGTAATGTTGGTACTTTTTCGTAATGCAGTATGAATGCTCTGTTTTTGTTCCGGAATGACGTGATAAATTCTAATTGATGGTATCTTTTGGTAGCGACCATCTCCGCTGAAAATTGAAACTTAGAGGCTTAAGAGCAAGTCATTGGACAGCATTTTTATTGAACTTTTTTGAGTTTTCACATCAAAAACACATTACTCCATTTCTTATGAAACTTTTACCCCTACTGATCTTACCAATTTATGGAATAGTCAGTTTTCACTTTTCTAATTGTTCAAGGATAATGTTATTGGCTGGCCCACCATGTCATTCTGACTACAGTAACCTAAGAGCGACCGTTGTCGGTGGTAGGTGGTACTTGGCATTGAGAGTTGGGTCACTTATTACCAATTTTTACTCCAAAGTCCAAACCATTGTGGAGACCTTGTGTATATGCTTTCTTCTACAAGTTAGCGGGCCAATTGATACAAATTCTGTCTAAATATTATCTCTTGGGCACTGATAACTCCATTGAACAAAAAATTTGTTCAAGTCGTAAAATAGTACATATGTAAAGTTAGGATCATTTCTTCTACTAAAATAAGTAATAACACTGCAGTTGCTCTAAGAGCAAGCACAATGGTAAGTAATTGGCCTGAAAATCTGTGCCAATTACTACTTAGTAATTAGAGAGAGTTGAAAGGAAAAAAAAACATTTTCTTTGCTATTATGTAGTAAAATGTCAGAGTTGTAGGCCAACTATCTTAATACCTTATTTTTGTATACGTTAAAAGAAAATATAAAGAAGAAAGTTGCTGTATTGGCAGGCCACATATTATCCATAGTTGTTACCAAGTTTCGCAACTCCCATTGAAGGAAAATACTTTCACTTAATTGGGCCAGAGAATCTGATGTGAAATGCCTGAGATCACTTTTTACTGAAGCTCCATCGGAGTTGTTCTAAGTAAGAACATTCTCAATGCCTCCACGTAAAATGTGGTCCCAAACTTCTCCACTTAGCCTGTCTAAGAGTAGTAAGTAAAATGGTTTGTTTTGTCTAATACTACCAATTACAGTAGCAAGCAAACCCCATGTTTTTTTTTACTTTTGGGGAGAAAAGAGAAGTAACTGCAGACAAATGCGTGATTTCCTTTAAATGGTTCACAATGACAAAATATTAATTGACACACATTTCAAGCGCCAGTTACTGCCTATTGTGATCAGTGTACAAAGGAGTTGAATATGGTAGTAATTATGACATATATTTTTCTACTCCACTTATCAACAAATGCAATTGTTTTAAGAGACCTGTTTTGGATTTACAGAAAATAGTTGAAAATGTAATGCCAAAAACTTTTCAACTGAAGTTACCCACTACTCCACTCTTATTTAACATGTCCTTGCAATAGATTTATCTAAACAAGGGTAAAAGCGTTGCCTCAGCATGAGGTTTACAAGACTATAGATTTTTTTTAATTTTTAATTTTTAATTCAAGTAACCTAAACAAAACATGTTTAAATCAATTGCAAATATCAGATTCATTACATGCAAGCCAGTCTGCAAAATTAATTTTCATGACCAATAAGTTCTCAAGTTCCTGTTTTCACCCAAGCTAAAAGGGACTTCAACTTAATACTATATCAATGGGGAAATTCAATATTTTAAGCATCTACAAGCATCATCATCCTTCAAGGTTGATTATAGACCCAATGAAATTAACGGAGAGCTCCGTTAACAGAATATGAAGAGGGTAAAGGGACAAGACGTTGCCTAAAAAGAGGTCCGTCTGATCAGTGATCTCAGTCAACTTGAATTTTGAAGCAATTGAGTACAGCACACGTCTCAATTACTAAATACAACAGCATTGTAATGATCATATATATGGTTCAATAATTAAGTTTGCACATATCAAATGAATTAATAAAATTTTACTTATTTGTCTCAAATTTGAAGTAAGCTTCTCAACATTATTACAATAATAACATTATATTGGTAGAAATGGTATTTGAGTTAGTTAGTTGTGACAGTAAACAAAGGAAAACTCATTGAATATGTTTTTGGAGATCTAAAAAATATTTGTACGACAAAAAAAAGGGTTTTTTTTGTTGTATTGAGTTTAGAATAAGAAGAAGACGATCCCTTTTGTTTACCTCTTTTATCAAATATAATTTAAAATGCTCTTTTTATTTTTTGGGTCATTTTGGCATGTGTGACCAGAAACAACAACATCCTGATAAACACGGCGTTCCATTGGAACTGAATTACGTATGTACCATGTTTTGGCCCATTCATTGACCATAGATAAAAAAAAAACCGAAGCTTAATTTGGTAAATACAGAAGTTGCCTAAGCAGATATTATGATACTAATAATGTTTGGGTGACAGACATGCTACAAGTCAAACCATACCTAATAATCTGTTTGGTTATTTAGAAATCCAACTCAAACTTACCCTCTCCTACATATTTAAGGTCCTAGCTAGATTTGTGTATACATTTGCTATACCACATAAGTAAGATAGTGTAACCGCTAAATTACGTAAAAACAATCAAATATATATTTTTACGAGAAATTAAATGAAAAAAAAAAATCGTGTAAGGAAAGATAGAACAAACAACTGTATTATTTATTCTCGCATTGAGTTGATACACTAAAGAAGTGTATACGATGATTGTACTGAATATCATTAACGTTTTTAAACATTACTGTATGAATTCATTAACGAATATAGCAGAATATAATTACTATTTCTTTTGAAAGTATAAGATGTTACCATCCTTGCTAAGACTAATAAGCCAAAATAACTGAAAAAAGAAAAAATACGAGTCAAATGAGCCATCCGCCAAATGGAGAGGACAGAAATAGAAGGACGACAAGAATGAAGCCAAGTTGACCATTAAATTAGCTAAAAAGAAGACAAGAAACTGACTAATTGAACAAACTTGTAACACACACACAGTCACACAGTTTGAGTTTTTGAAGTAGTAGTAGAAGAAGAAGAATACCACTCCATTTATATACAAAAGCTCTCTCTGTCTCTCTCTCTTTGTGATGAATGAATTGAAGTTCATCAGCAGCCTCCACAAACACAAAGAGATAACAATGAAGAACAGGCAGAATAAATTGGAGAGAAATCTCATTTCATCAACCCCTAAATGGGTTGTTGCTGCTGTAATTTGCTTCTCTTTCTGTGCCATTTGGATGCTTTTCAACCACAGGTACGTAATTCTTCTTACATCTCTTCACCATCTTAATTTCTTTAATCTTCTTCATCATATACATTAATCCCTCTTTAGGGTTATTTATTTATTTATTTTGTCCTCAGTTCAAATAATCTGTTCATTCGATTTGTTCTTTTTTTTTTTTGGTTTTTTTGGTTAATGCATCAATTAATCGCATTACCCCTTCAATTAAACTGAAAATGCTCTATCAATTTTCCATGACAATCTTAATAGATAATAATCATTCTTTTCCTGAATTGTCAATAAACCTTTCAAATTATCTATGCAGATAAAATCTTTCGCACTGAGTATGTCTACGACATTTTTTATTTTTGATTTCGTTTTTTTTCTCTGGCATAACCCATTAAATTATTAAAAAAATATAAGATTCTTACCCATTTTAGTTTCTGCTAAGTTAATTTGATAATTGACAATTAAATTACAATTAATTTAGATATTTAAAATTGATAACTAATATCTAAACCAATATGTGAGTGAGTTGCAAAGATTATTTCCAGCAGGTTCGTTATTCGCATGAACCAACTCCAACACATGTAGGTTATAATTCTGTGATCTTAATTTGAACTCGTCATTTTGTCAATGTTGAAGAATTGAAACAAAATTAAGCACTAAAATTATATTTCTTCTATCTCAAAAAAATAGTCTAATTACTTTGTGAAACGAGAATTGTTATTTTAATTCCCTTCCATTTACTACTTCAATTAAAAGAAAGTTCAAGTGCGAGGCTATTATATACGATACGGAACGTATGATGAGTTAGTTTTTGCCATAAATCGTATGCTTATGTGAAGAATTATAGCTGTATTCATTCTGTTAGACACATTTATGAAAATTTGTTTTTTTTTTCATTGGACAAACATAAAATAATATCATGATGCATGACAGTAATTCATTTATCTTATCATTTGTTTTTTTAATTGTTGAAATGAAAATTGTAATGTAGAACTAATTTGTAAATTACTGGTTGATGTGTTTAATTTAGGTGGGGGGCTGCTGTAGATTCAAATGAGCAAACATCTCTTCGAAGACGTCAACAGCAGTTGCGACCGAACCCTCCTGATGATCATAACTGTTCAAGCAAGGCCAAGGTAAATGAAGTGTCGGTTTCATTCTTAATATATGTATTTCGATTCGAGAACTATACCTTGTCCGTATTGATGAATGAAATTCTATTTTGCTTGTTTTAATTTTTGATTTATTCTTGAAAAAATAAATTTTATTGAAGATTATTATGTTCATGTTCTCATCATCAGGAGAGGGCAGAAGAATTGTTGAGAACTTATAAGGAAGCTGAAGAAGCCATCAAGTTAGTACACCATATATGTAACTATACACATAGACATTTCTCCAAATTTCATTTTTTCATGAGCTTCTTGATTCACTAACTAATAATCATCAAAGCAATAGTGATAGTAATAAGGACTTTATTGATGCCTTGGATAAAAGGGAACATTATCACCATGAGATCTTAGATTAATTCAAACTTCAATTAATATTTCTGTGCCACTATTGTCGACAATTTGAAATTTTTGCATAATTTTTCTTTTTGTTACTCCTTCATGATGCAATTTAAAATTGTTTTCTTACCAACTGATTTGAGCATTAACTCATCTTTTTATTTGTAAATTGGGGAAAATCAGGGCACTGGACATTTCAATAGGTAAACTAAGGGGGGAACTTCCGTCAGCCACTATTCAGAATGACCATACGGGAGAGAAATCATCTGAAAGAAATGTATCTGCAAAATTAGCTAACACCAAGAACACTAAGGAAAAGGCGTTCATGGTGATTGGCATAAACACTGCGTTTAGTAGCAGAAAAAGGCGTGATTCACTTCGAGAAACCTGGATGCCTCAAGGTAACCGTTGCCAATTGAACTGAAATGTCTATATATATATATATTTTGGAACGGAAAAAGTATTAATTTTTTTTTTTTAACCTTCTTGTACATCTGTTACCTAATTTTGTGTTTTTGTTGATTAACTATTAAATAGGTGAAGAGCTGCGAAAATTAGAGCGAGAAAAGGGAATAGTGATTCGGTTCATGATAGGCCACAGGTACACAAATCTCATGTCCTTATTCTACAAATAATGATATTTAAGTGAAACAATTTAAGAAAACACATGTAGTTTTCTCCAATGCCGCCAAGTATATTCATTTGATTTCACTATATGTTTAAATCCACTGAGAGTATAACCACCCGCTTTCTTTTTTCTTTTTTTTTAATGAATAAATTTGATGGTTTGATTAATTTCAACAAATATATTTATGAATCTATATCACATTTTACATTATTATCTGATTTATTTATACATTTTAATATCCACTCATAATAGACAAATATATGTTGCGTGACGGCACAATGGCTCTTAATTTGACTTCTATCGCAGACAACGAAATCAAATAGCAGTCTTTAAAATGAATTTTCATTGAATATCTATTCTAAATAGCAGTCCAATCCCTAGCACTACAATTAGGTACGTAGGGTAGATAAATACAACCGGAATTTCAAAGACTAGATACAGTATTTGGATTCATCTTCCTTAACAAGATTACGTGATCATCTGCCTAATTCTTGAACTCTAAGAACTGGGAAATTCAGCCATTATAGTTGTTAATTAGACTCTAATCAATTTTTGTCAGCTCTATGCAGACAAATGAGCGAGTTTAGACGTTCATGACAAATTCGAAATGAATGAGTCACTCCATTAATCCACCAGTCCCAAGAAAAGAGTTTAAAAAAAAAAAAAACAAAAGTCTACATAGAATACACAGTTTTACTTCAAAAAAATTTAAGGACTAAAAGGAAAAACAAAGAGTTTAAAAGATACTGTATCGATGAACCTTATGGTTATTACCTATTAGTATAATTACTAACATGTCAATCATGTAGAAATAGGGGGATTTGTGTGAATGCATGTTTCGTTCAATGAGTGATTTGATATATTCCATTTTAGAAATGGTTGTCATACTTGTATTCCATTGCATGGCATTGATCCTAATGCATGTTATCATATTCTCCATCCATTACTCAATTTGCTGCCAAAAATCTATGATAAAAAATTCAGTGGTTCAGGTCTATTTAAAGAATTCAAAATAATTTAATATGGAGATGGTAATGTTAATTTCCATTTTCATGAACTCGATCGGTACTATCTTTATGCTTTACTGGATACTTATATAATCTCAAAATTAAAATGCACTACTCCTCTTTCGCACCAAAAAAAAAAAAAAAAAAAAGGATGAGCTAAGGCAACGTTTGGTTGTGTGACAGTGCAACATCAGATAGCATTCTGGACCTCGCAATTGATCTGGAGAATGAACAACATAACGACATTCTTAGACTAGTGAGTATATTTGAATCGGTTAAAGTCTGATTGAATTTACTTAAGTATATTACAATCTTTGCACAGTTGCTAATCGATATCGGTTTTATCATACTTGATTATTTGTTTAGGAACATGTTGAAGGATATCACGAGTTAACTGCAAAGACGAAATCATTCATTTCTACTGCAGCTGCCAAATGGGATGCTGATTTCTATGTGAAGGTTGATGATGATGTTCATGTAAACCTAGGTACACACTTACATAATCTCTCTTAATTTTTCCATCCTTTAATTCTAGCATACATATGATTCCATCCTCAAAACCGTTCTTGTTTAGATCTTCCAACCAAAAGTTAATTCTTTCTGTCAATAATTAATGAGACAGAACCATGATAACGATATATGATTCATTGTGCAGGCACGTTGGCTGCTACACTAGCGAGTCACCGGTCAAAGCCTCGGGTCTATATAGGTTGTATGAAATCAGGACCGGTTCTTTCCCGGAAGTAAGTTTTGCTTAATAATTATATGAATATTCCTTGAAACGTACTATTACATTAGTTTTGTAATCATCTTAATAATTTCTTGAATTTTTAAAAACAATTCCAGGGAATCAAAATACCACGAACCTGAGTACTGGAAATTTGGAGAAGCGGGAAACAAGTACTTTAGACATGCAACCGGACAGATTTACGCCATCTCTCGTGATCTCGCGGCTTACATTTCCGGCAACCTGTAAGAAATACTAAGAATCAAATTAGATTCCTTTTATTACATTAATTGACCTTAACTAACCTATTACAAGTTTGTTTCTATTGTGTTTTCAGACCAATCTTGCATAAATATGCAAACGAAGACGTTTCACTTGGAGCTTGGCTCATTGGTCTTGAAGTTGAACACGTTAATGACCATAGTATGTGTTGTAGAACTTCTCAAGGTAAGAAAAACAAAAGAAAAAAATATTTGACGTATCATATAGTCGTGTACATCATTCTTATATCATAAGATCGCATGTATGATATTTGACGCGGAAATTATAATGTGAATTTGGAACAGAATGTGAATGGAAAAAGCAAGCAGGGAGCACTTGTGCAGCATCATTTGATTGGACGTGCAGTGGGATTTGCAGATCGGTTGAGAGAATCAAAGGTATCCATACCAGATGTGGTGAAGATCCTTCAACCATTTGGAATGTTGTTTTGTGACCCTAATATCGTTCAAACCATAATTATCGCCATCAAAATACATTTGTTTTCGACGAGAAAATATCGTTGAATATTTTTTAAGGTTTATTTTATTTTATTTATACATTTAAGGATCTCCTAATTTGTGGCAGAAATTATGTCAAATGATATCGGAGGTAAAAAAAAAAAGAACAAAATTATTTTTGTTTATCGTGATTAAATATTGTGGATAAATATCTTCTTCTTCTTCTTGTTGTCTGTGACAAATAACACATTTAGAGGATTGTGTAACATCATCTCTTTTAAGCTTTGGAAAAGATGTTACCTCTAGAATATGTCCACTGCACTCTAAACTTAAAGGAACATGGGTGAATATACTCCCTCCGCTCCTTATCATAAGGCATTTTGATTTCATCCTAGATTTCACCTAGGATGTCTTTTTAAAATTAGAAAAAAAAAACTTAAAAATATATTTTCGCGTTCATTGCATTCTTCTAATTATTATGAAATCTTTTTAAGGTTTTTATTTCAATTAAAAAGACATTCTAGCTAGGTGAAATCTAAGACGAAATTAAAATACTTTATAATAAGGACCGGAGGAAGTATGTCCTATTAATATATTTAATCAAAGTCGTTATATTTGTAAGTAAAATAAGTGTTCCGTGTTACATAGTAAAATAAGTTCATTTACATTTGAGTCTAAGCTTTTATAGTGTAATGAGAATGCAACATAAAATGTGTGACTTGAGGACATTATTACACCAAAACTTCGTTCAAGATGAATTCATGACCTTAATCTGTGTTTATTCAAAAATGTTATCAAAGAAGAAAAGATATGCATTGCGGAACCCGAACTCAGGCAGCACCTGTAAAGTACCGGGCAAACAATAGATTCGTGTAAGTTTTGTCATATGAATCTTGTGAGCCCGCTTAGCTTAGCTACTGTTTAACCTTTTACCATTTCGAAGAGTTTTCGTATCACCATACACCTTAAATCTTAATATTACATGTGTGGCGTAGTTAAAAACTAATCGCACAAATGAATGCAACAAATCAAGATTGAACTCATTGAGTAATAATTATAGTATAGTCCGTGTACCCATCATTTAGTTCAAATTAATTAAATTTATTTATTTTTTTATTTCAATCAAGAACAAACCGTTTCATCTGTATCAAATCAAACATTTTCGACACTAAAAATCACATGTCATGCACGTGATATTGCGAACGATTTTTTTTTTCCGCTCGCAATTTGTTTATTCAAATTGATCTCTCAATATATATAACTAGATGCTTGGTCCGGGCAGATGCCCGGGCGCCCCTCTACTTTAATTTTGTGTTAATAGAAAAATGAATTCTTGATTTAGAAAAAAAATAAAATAGCTACACATTTGTTTTTTTTTTCCCCTTTTTTTAGCCAAACATAAAAATAAAAATAAAAAATCACCTGCCAAAGGAGAAAAAATATTGAAAAGTACAACGATGCAGAAATCATACAAAAGAATGAAGAGTAATAAAGGGGATAAGTTTATGGGCAAATTTAAATGTTATTTTAATTTGATTGATAAATGATAAATGTTAGGAGTTAAAAGAAATTAATGTTTTCTTTTTTGTCTCTTTTTTAAAGTCAAATGTAAGTGGGACCCACAACTTGAAAGAAAATTAATAAAAAATAAAAAATTAACGTTTCACCAAATTTGACCGTTAATTTTTGAAAATTTCCGTTAAGTGGATCAATGATGATGAATAAACGGGAAACTTGTAATTAAGTTTGTCAAAAAAACTTAATGGTGACCAAAAGTTGTGACTCCCCTTAATTCAGGGACCAAAAGTGCGCTAAATAAAACCTAAGTGGGCCCCACAATCTGGAAAAAATTAATAAAAAACAAAAAATTAACGTTTAACCGAATTTGACCGTTAAATTTTTAAAAATTTCGTTAAATGGATCAATGTTGATGAATAAACGAAAAGCTTGTGACTAATTTTGTTAGAAAAAACTTAATGGTGACCAAAAGTTGTGACCCTCCTTAGTTCAGGGACCAAAAGTGCGTTTTGTCCAAAAAAGAATTATACTTAATTATTAAAAAACTAAAAATTATGTCTAGTTAATTTTTTACTATGTGACTTCTCCTAAACTTATCAAGATAAATAAAAAAAATTAAATTAATCATTCCTCAGTTTTTGTCAAGTTGAAATAAATATCATTCATGACAAAAAAACTTTCAAAAAAGACATAAAGCTAATAAAATATAAAAAATATCAAAATCATAATTAGAATCGAATAAAAAACCCTAGCCATAACTGTAGTAGAAACCATAACGAAAGTTGTAACCGGAACCGGAACTGTCTCAAACCGTAACCATTTGAAACCGTCTCTTACATGGTTCGGATATGGTTCCATCCATCTTAGAACCATGAACCGGCGGTTTTAGATCCGTAACCGATGGTTCTAGAACCGTGGTCAGGGCTAGGCTGGTGTGCTTCTCGGCCGTCTACGCGGCCCTTCGAATATAAATTGGAAACCCTTTTTTGGGGGAGATATCGGAGCAGTCGTGTGTGAGGACCGGGCATTTGTGAGGAGCGGGCTTGTGTGAGGAGCGGCAGATGCTCACGTAACCTTCTGCTAGCGTGCTTTTATCGGCCACCTGCACGGTCCTTTGAATAAAAATTAGAAACCTTTTTTGGGGGGAGATATCAGAGCGGTCGTGTGTGAGGAGCGGGCGTGTGTGAGTAGCGGGCTTGTGTTAGGAGCGGCAGATGCTCACGTAGCATTCGGATATCGTGCTTTTCGGCCGTCTGCACAGCCCCTCGAATATAAATTGGAAACTTTTTTTTCAGGAGAGATATCGGAGCTGTCGTGTGTGAGGAGCGGGCTTGTGTGAGTTGTGGCAAATGCTCACGTAGCCTTCGACTAGTGTGCTTTACGGCCGCCTGCGCGGTTCTTCGAATATAATTTGGAAACTTTTTTCAGGGGATATATCGGAGTGGTAGTGTGTGAGGAGAAGGCATGTGTGAGGAGCGTGTTTGTATGAGGAGCGGCAGATGCTCACATAGCCTTCGGCTAGCGTGTTTCTCGAATATAAATTGGATATCCTTTTTCGGGGGAGATATCGAAGCTGTTGTGTGTGAGGAGCGGGCATGTGTGAGGAGCGGGCTTGTGTGAGGAGCGGTAGATGCTCACGTAGCCTTCAACTAGCGTGCTTTTTTTGGCCGCCTGTGCGGTCCTTCGAATATAAATTGGAAACCTTTTTTGGGAGAGATATCGGAGTGGTCGTGTCTGAGGAGCGGGCGTGAGTGAGGAGCGGGCTTGTGTGAGGAGCGGCAGATGCTCACGTAGCATTCGAATAGCATGCTTTTCGGCTGCCTGCGCGGTCCTTTGAATGTAAATTGGAAACCTTTTTTCAAGGGAGATATCGGACAGGTCATGTGTGAGGAACGACAGTGTGTGAGTTGCGGCAGATGTCACGTAGCCTTCGGCTAGCATGCTTTTCGTTCGCCTGCGCGGCTGTTCGAGTATAAATTAGAAACCTTTTTTTGGGAGAGATATCGAAGTGGTCGTGTGGAGGAGCGGCAATGTGTGACGGCAAATGGTCACGTAGCCTTTGGCTAGAGTGCTTTTTGACCGCTTGTGTGGCCCTTGAATATAAATTGGAAACCTTTTTTCGGGAGAGATATCGTAGCGGGCGTGTGTGAGGAGCGGGAGATTCTAATGTAGCCTCCGGCTGGCGAGCTTACACTCTATTCGTATATTAGAATCGTTTTTGCAGAGGATATATCAGAGCAAGCATGTGTGAGGAATTGTATGTAGTTACATTGGTCTTCCTAAAAGACAATCTGGTCTTAATTCTTGGTACTAGTGGTCTTAGTTCCAATGTATAATTTTTTTTATGGTTTTATTATATAATTTCATAGGTAATGCAATAGTAATTTGTTTTATGGTGTTATTATATAAAATTTTAAAATTCATGTATTGTAATTCATTTTATGGTCTTGTTACATAATTTTGAAGATCATGTAGTATATTTTATATGGTCTTATTGTATAATTCAAAATTTTATTAATTAAGAAATTGGTACTACAATGAAAAGAATTAAATTGCAAAAAAAAAAAAAAAACACATGAAGTTTTCCATTGTTCGATAATCAAAATGGAGGTTGAATATATCTAGATAAATGCACAATATCACAATTCAAAAAAAAAAAAAAAAACCACTAAACCAAAACAATCAAAAAAGAAAAAAATCATGCGCATTAACAAAAAATCACTAAACCAAAAAAAAAAAAAAGAAAGGAAAGAAACCACTTAAAAAAAAGAAAAAAGAAAAGATCACTAGCCTCCGGCTACGTTGTTTTTGCCATCAACGCGGCTCTTCGAATATCAATTGGAAACCTTTTTTCGGAGGAGATATCGAAACGAGCATGTGTGCGGAGCAAGGACCAAAGGCCAAAGACCAAAGATCATAGTAAAGAGCGAGTATATGTAAGGAGCAAAGGCCAAAGACCGAAGACCAAAGAGCAAAGAACAATGACCAGAGTGAAGAGTGAGCGTGTGTGAAGAGTAAAGGCCAAAAACCAAAAACCAAAAACCAAAGAGCAAAGAGCAAAGGTCAAAGATCAAAGAGCAAAGACTAGAGTGAAATACAAGCGTGTGTGAGGAGCAAAGATCAAAGACCAAAGGGCAAATACCAAAAACCGAAGACCAAAGACCAGAGTGACGAGCAAGCGTGTGTGAGGAGCAAAGACCAAACACCAAAGACCAAAAGCCAAAAACCAAAAACCAAACACGAAAGAGCAACAAATAAGACCAGGGTGGCTTTTAAGAAAACCAAGGTAACTGAGTAAATCTTTTAAGTTTCGAAAAACATATTCATGCTGGATCTTGTTGGATAGATCTCATGGAGCACTATCAAAATGATATAATACATTTAGTCTAATTATTTACGGATTAAGAAATAAATTTATTTGAAAATTAAAAAACTTTTAAAACCCCAGTAAAAAGAAAAACAAAAATTATGCGCATTAAGCACGGGTATGTAAGCTTCACGCAGGTTAATAGCGCAGAGAGCACGTGCCATTAAGTGCAACTTGCAAGCTGCACTTAATGCGCAGCTTATAATTTCCGATGCTTATTCACATAATACTTTAATTTAATTTCCATAAGGAAATTGTCTTTTTCTTTGTTTAAAAAAATGTAAATTGAGAAAATATGACTTGTTCTATGTCAATAAGGGCTATATCTTTTT